GTGACTTGGAAGGCTGCCTGGGCCCCTCCTGGCCTGGAGGCCTGCCCATGCCCATGCCCTTGCCCTTGCCCTGGCTGGGTCCCGGGTGCGAATTGCAGCCTGCCAGGCCTTGAGGGCCGCCTGGATCTGGCCTGCAGAGATGTGCTCTTCTTCTTCTTCCTCTGCTTCTCTCTCCATGGCAGACTCACAGAGCTCCATCTGGGCAGCCAACAGGGCTTGCTATGTTTTCCTTTTTGCTGCTGTTTGCACAGCTGGTCAATGCCAGGGCGGGGTGGCCAGGCCCTTGCTTGTGGTCAGGCAGAGCGTCTCCTTCCTTGGAGGCCGGAGAGGGCTGGCAGGGGGCCTAGTGGGGCTGGATGGCCTTTGGGGGTCCCTTTCCAGATCCAGGACTCTGGGAACACGAACTGGGCCACGGATCTCCTCCTCCTCCTCTTTCGCATCTGGTGCTGCCCTTGTGGGGTTTGGCTTTGCAGACTTTTTTGGGGGGTGGGGGGGTCTGAACCAGGCCCCGAGTTCCTTTTCTGGACTGCAGTGACCAGAATCCCCCTCCAGCCCTTTTGGGAATAGCAGCCCCAGGCCCTGAAACCGGGAGGCCTTCTGGATGCAAAACAGCATTGACTGACTGATCTAGAATTGTAGATGGAAGAGACCCCAAAGGCCATCCAGCCCAACCCCATTTCTGCCATGCAGGAACTCCCAATCAAAGTACCCCTAACAGATAGATGGCCATCCAGCTTCTCTTTAAAGACCTCCAAAGAAGGAGACTCCATCACTCTTATTCCAGGTGACCTGTCCTCATGGGGGTTTCTGAGGCTGAGAGTGTGTGGCTTGCCCAAGGCCACCCAGTGCTCCTGAGCATGCACTGATTGCTTTCCCGGATTTCCCACCCAGGCCTTGCTGACTGGGGCATTTGTGGGGTGTCTGTGTTACTGACCCAGGCATTGGCGGTCCCCTTCTCTTTGGCCTTTTGGGGACCCACCTCTCCCTCCATCCCCCCCCCTTGCCCCGGTGCTTTCAGCGCTCTATGTCTCTCTTTCAGACCCAGGGTGGAGCCCAGGATGGCCAAGCCAGGAGAAGGAGGCAGAAGGAATGTGTTTTTGGGAGGCAGCCAAAGAGAAACACCCGCTCTATTCTGGGCACCAGGCGGGACCCACAAAGAAGGCCACAAAGAAGAAGCAGAAAGTGACCCAAGGAAGAGGAGGAGGAGGAAAGGCTCTAAGGAGAAGCATCAGAGGAAGAGAGAGGAAGAAAGAGGAGACTGGGGGCCCAGAGGACCCTGGGACTGGCCCTGGCCCTCA